ACATATGTATATATTATACATATACATACATATATATAGAAATATATAGAAATTTATATAGAAAAATATATATTTTTATTTTAATATAACAAAAATATGTAGTACAATCTATGTTATTAAAAGTATAAGATTTAAAATTTTTTTGTCCGTATACTAAATGTTCTGTTAGAGGAATATATTTTAATTATTTCCTAATCATCATATTGTATAAAAGAATGAACAGGAACACTAAGCTTATCTCGACCTTTTAACAAAGTTAATTCCATTATTACTAAACATTCAACAACATTAGCATCTACTGACTGTAGTAATTGTATAGCTGCAGCCATGGAACCTTTAAATAATATAAACATATGTTTTGATATTGTTCTTATATAAACAATATATAAACATTGTATACAAAAAAACATTCATCTTAATATAATTTTATAATAATCTTTATACTTTACCTCCAGTTGCCAGCAAATCGTCAACAACTAAAACTCTAGTTCCTTTGTTGATGAATTCTGTTTGCAATTCAAATATGGCCTATAAGTATTAAAGAAATTTTATGTATTAAAAATAATTTATCAAATAATCAGAATTACATATACTTTGAACATACTTCTCCATATTCTAATGAATATTTCTGTTGGGTAACTTTGCCTGGAAGTTTACCCTCTTTTCTGATAGGCAAAAAGGGTTTGTTTAACTCCATACAAATCATAGGACCAAGGAGGAAGCCACGTGAATCCAGTCCTACAACTAAATCGATTTCAAGCAATAAACTGTGTCCCACAATTAAATCCCTTAGTGCTTTTAGAGCTACAATATCGTGAAATGCACCAAATATGTCTCTGAAAATGTGGATGATAATGTGAGATAATAAATGTAAAATAGGATCAATATAAAATCAGAATTCTTGATCCTCTAATTTTTAAGCTCTTGTTATGCACTTACCGGAAAATAATTCCAGGTTCAGGAAAGTCTGGATAACTCCTTATAGCATTTTTCAGTATTCGTAATTTATCGGTTTTGTCCATTATAATAATTATGTTTTTAAAAATAATGGATGTATTTTCGAATAATTCCTACTTCCGATTGAACTAAATTTTACATATAAATTCAATATGAGAATTAAAGTGATCCCAACTTCGGAAAATGAAAAAAAATTTTTTTATATAAGATGATATCTATCAACTAAAATAGATTCTATATAATGTATACAACATATATAATATATAAACATCTATGAGATTACATAGATTACGTAACCTAACCTAATCTCATTCTACATCTATATATGGTGTATATATATATATATATATATATTTATATAATATATACAGTGTATAAATATATTTTTAAAAATATAAATACATATACTTATACTTATTTAATATATATACTTTATAATATATATATAGTAAATATATTTTCTTCGCTTCGCATAAAAAGTCGTAAGAAGAACTATGTAGAACCTCGTTTTGCGTTAAAAAATATATGATGGAGACATATATCAGTGGAGATGATGAGTGAAGTGTGTCCCCCTCTCTACGGGGAAGAGGAGGAGGGGGGGGATTTCCTGCAGAAAACTAGACATTAGAAACAGGTTTGAGTTGAATTTCGCTTTGTATAGAAAGAACTGTAAATTCACGAAAACCTCGCTTCGCATGGAAAGTCGAAAATCCATACGGGACTTAGGGACCTTGTTTCACCCCATAAGTAGGAAAAAGGATGAACTTCACTTTGCATGTAAAGCCATACAATCCTAGTTTTGCATTCGAAGCGAAAAAAGGGGGTTACAATTTTTCGCGCAAAGCAAGAACTACTCTCATCATCCGGTATTTTGGATTTCTCACGAGAATCCAACTACCGTATATATTATATTATATTTATACATTTGTAATATATATCACATAGAGTCGATTTTAATTGATAAGTGCCTGTCTTATATAAAAAATTTTTTTTCTTTCCCCAAGTTGTAATCACGCGCATCTTATTTTTCGCGCATTGAATAGAATTTAATTAACCGAGCATTTCAAAAAATGCTTTGAAATAGTTGCATCAAATTAAATATAACTTAAATTTTCTAATATTTTTCTATATGATATTTGGTATTACTTTGATGACGTTTATTTCGAAAGCACTAGCGCGCGACACTTGACGACTTGAGCCACAATCGTGTCTCTTGATAAGACGATCTAACGATAACAGATAAAAGTTCTGATATTGACCGAAAAGATATGTGATTTGTAATATTTTAAATAACTTCTACAGATTATGAATTGTGCTATTTTTTAGATGCGTTTTATAAATTCTTGTATGATGCACAAAGAACAAATTTTTAGTCCCGGAGTAAATCCGTAAAATCCATAAAAAAATTGATTAATTACAATTGATTATTCTCCTTACCATCAAAGACTTGGTCAGTTTTTTACGGTTCTGACTAAAGGTCTGTACGTGCAAAAGTTTTTAAATTCAAGAATGATTTGAAATTAGATTAATGTCGAAAATCATACAAAGAATGCACCCGGAAGCATAATCGCTCATTGAGCGCTTTAATGAGTTTTTGCACTTGATATTACATATTTTTTTAGATATAAAAGAATATACCAACAAGAGCTCATTCAGTAAGTTGTGCTTTTGGATCCAGTGTTTTCTCACAAACTTATATTATCGAAAAAATAAAAATGATGAAACGCACGATATATTAAACAAACATTTATTTATATTCATATACAATTGTCTATAAGAGATACGCACTTATATACCTCTCGATATTTTTAGTAAACAAAATAACTGCTAGTAAAATATAATAATAATTATATATATTTAATATTTTACAACGATGTGAGCATTAAAAATGAAAATATATTTACAGCATGTAATATTGATAGAAAATTAGTACATATGTATACATATATATATATTACAAAATGAGAAAAAATATACTTCTTCTCGAAATTAGATATTTTGTGTGTGTGTGTGTGTGTGTGTGTGTGTG